TAGATGGAAAGTTTATTTTTTCTTTCCAAAATTGAGAAAGACTGCCGGAAAAACTGTGTACATCCTTTTCCCAAAGTCCATATTCTAAATTCACTTTCCCAAGACAGACCTTTTTGTTAAACCAAGTATTAATTAATCAAAGTGCATTGTTAGATAAGATAAGAACTATACTCTTTATTAATAAAAGTACCTTATGGAGGCCATTCTGCCAATGTGGTTCTCTTTGTTCCCTCTACATGCTGCAAATCCGATGATCATTTTGATACTGCAGTTGTCTGGGATTCGATCACACACATTAAGCATGCTTGTCAACAATGCTCCAGGGGTCCTAAATTTGATAAGTGGTGTTATATCTCGACGAGGGTATAATGTTCAGGTTGCTTTTTCCACTGATTCTTGCTGCTTCCCCTATAATTTCACTCCCTCTTGATTTTGTCATCTGAGCTTAATTTCAATGATTATGTTGCAGAGTCTTGCTGTAGGCCCTGCAGAGACAGAGGGGCTTTCACGTATTACCACAGTGGTCCCTGGAACTGATGAAACTATAGGGAAATTGGTCAAGCAATTTAACAAGTTGATAGATGTTCATGAGGTAAATTTACAAGTTGATAGATGTTCATGGGCTAGCTACAAGCTGATTTTGAGATGATTAGGTGCTTGGGGATGAGTTTACCTACCACGAAAACTCAATATAGTTTGTATAAGAGGGGTCCAAACTAGTTTTGCTATTTTTTGGGATTTCTTTACTTTTCCAAGCCGAGGGTCTAGCGGAAACAACCTCTCTACCTCCCAAGGTATGGGTAAGGTCTCCGTACATACCAACCTCCTCAAACCCCACTTGTGGGATTAAACTGGGTATGTTGTTGTTGTTCCCATAAGTTGATCAATTATCTGATAAGCGTTTGCCTTAGTTTTTTAAAGTTCCCACTATGTTTCTTAAAGTTGGCGTCTTTTGTGCTCAACCTTCCCAGCAGTGCACTTAGCCTTGTTAATCGTTCAGACTCGTTGCACTTTGCCAACTCTATTGTAGGTTTTCTAAAACTTAAAAGATAGTGAGTACCGCACTTTCACCTTTCCCTTACCATTAAGGTCATAGTTGTTAAAACCACCCTTCTCAATGAGAAAGTAAAGCTTGTAGATCGATACAAAATTTTCATCTTGAATGAGAATTTTACCTCTAAAAAGTTTCACTTTTCTCATATATGTACTAACATCTTGTTCATTGGGGTTGTTAGATCATACATATAATACAGTTGTGCTTGTAATTTAGGTTCAAGATATAACTCATTTACCATTTGCTGAGCGGGAGCTAATGCTCATTAAAGTAGCCGCCAATGCAGCAGCAAGGAGGGATGTCCTTGATATTGCCAGTATTTTCCGTGCTAAACCTGTTGATGTGTCTGATCATACAGTAACATTGGAGGTGATTTTTTATTTACTTTTGTCAAGTATAATTGGAGGTGAAAATTAGAAGAAACTCTTTTTTTTTTTCTTTCTATGTTCAGCTCTTTTCATGTTGTTACTTGTTGTATACTGGTATGCTTGCATATTGTAGAAGATAGCTTTTTTATTTTTGATTGCGTTAGACCCTTTATTTACATGTTTGCTCTAGCGGTTTGTTCCTTCAGCCAATCATTAATTCACACATGTTATTGCCATACTATTAACATACTTGGCCAGTGGCATGGGGAATAAGCAGGATTTTGCTCAAGCAGTGTCGGTTATTGTCACAATACCACTTTTAAATGGGCTTAAGTCTGGGAGTTTTGTAGTTTTAAGGCTTTACTTCTGGTCTATGATAGTTGTTTTTGTATTTTTCCAAGCGGTGTCAGTTTATTGTGTGTGTGTATATATATATGTATATATTCATATTGCTTTGGTAAAAGGTATTATTTACACACATTCAAAAGAAAATTCTTTGGGAAACGATGTTGGATTACACCCCTTACTGACTGCTGTACCTGGCTGAATATATCTGAATTTTCCTTCTCACTGGAAACCTTATCATAAATGAAAAGGACTGCTCATGTATACTTGTGCCATGTCTTCCCCAGATCCCCCATTGACTTCTCGTTGATTGCATGTACACTTTGCAGTTGACTGGAGACTTCAACAAGCTGTTGGCATTGCAAAGATTACTGGAACCTTATGGCATTTGTGAGGTTTGTTTTCCCAAACTGAATTTTGGCTTGTCAACACGTATAGGCTGGCATCTTGAAAGTGTTATATCCTGCATTTGGTCAACGCATATAGGTTGACATGGTGAAGTGTGTGCATTTAAAAGCTCCAATAGTATTGTTGTGCTTCTCTTATTCTAGTGACACATGTTTCTATAATTGTAGTTCTTATCGATGTGATAGTTTTGTCATTTTAGTCCACATTGTCATTCTTTTGGTGTAGGTGGCTCGTACAGGGCGGGTAGCATTGGTACGAGAATCTGGTGTGGACTCGACATACCTCCGGGGTTATGCTCTTCCTCAATAGTGTTAGTTAAACTCTTCAAGTGCATTTTAATATATCGGAAACAACTTCTCTACCTGCACCGGTAGGTATGTAGGTTAAGGCAGCATACACACCACCCTCCCCATATATCCTACTTGTGGGATTACACTGCGTATGTTGTTGTCGAGTTTCTTTCTTGCTGACCTTTTCTGGTCTGAGAAATGAGGAGTTCATTTGTGTACTATTCCTAGTGGGAGTGTACTTGTCCTATTTAGGCATTCATAGGATTTTAACTGTAAGAACTCCGAACTGTGGAGAAGAACCAATGAAGTTGAGTAATGTTGTAAACTAATTATGTGGAGTGTATTAGCTGGAGGTTATTATATTAATACATAAGTTTTAAGTTATATGCACTGACAATGTATCGTCTTTTTACTTTATCCAGTTAAGTTGTTTTCATCACAATAAGTAACGCCTCTTTTATATTGTCAACAAATCATCTGTCTTTTTCTCAATATATTAGAGTGAATGAATACAAGTGATACAAGAGCAAGAGAGGTGGAAATACAGAAAACACCCCTTGTGTCGAAGACTGTGCAAAGTGCGCGCGCGTAAAAATTGGTTCCAAGTGAAAACTCAATTAGTTGACATATTGTTCTAAACTTACATGCAACAAAGGATGTGGACTTCCTACTGCTTCCATCGTTTGTCATAGTTTAACTTGATACAGACGTTTTGTTATAACATGAAAGTTTTAAAATTTATGATCTTAAATATATCGTACATATATATGGCTATAAAGTTTTGGCATGTAATCCTTTTTTGGAACGACTAATAAGTAAATAGTGTCAAACAAAGACGAAGGACGGGAGGAGGGATGTATATTTTGCTTACAAAATCCCAAAAACTAACCAACAATACACCAAGAAGTTGGGTAAGAAGCAATAATAGGTAATAAGAGATGGGGCTTCAACTCAAACAACATAATCTTATCATAATAAGAGGTTGTTAGTTGTTACATGATCTTCGAATGAAATAAAATAAAGTGTTTTCTCTTGATCATACATAAGCAAATATATAAGTGATTTTGGAGAGATCAAACTCTCAGTATAAACTATTCCTTGCCTAAGTGCACGACATTGAGGCACTAACTTAAATGAATCTCTAGATGTCCAGAAACATGATCATCATAATCAGTGGAGTGTAGCAGCACTTCACTCTCCGCATACCTATAAATCGGCATGGCTGGTTGACGATAGAAAGGACTAGCTACTACTGATATTGGACTCGCTGACACCATACTCTTTCATTACCCACAACTGAATTTGCCTCCAGGAAAACATAATATGAATGATAAAAGCAAAGCATTCTCTCCAATATTGAAACACCACGGTTATCAATCTCCGAGTCTGGTATATTCCACATTTCCTCTAGCAACAGTATCTCTCTATATACCTCATTTGAAATACTAAATGAAAACGATAATATAATAGAGTGACAAACCAACCCAATGAAATGATCCATGAACAAATGCCAAAAAATCCATACAAAAACCAAGAAATTTAAACATATGACGAAAACCAACAAGATATTTCAGAGTATATTTCCTTTTAGCGTAAGAATTTCAACATTAAATGCAAACTTCGCGTTCAGGTCAATAATAAGAATCTGCGTATATTCTACTCTCTCCAGACCTCACTTATGAAATTTCACGAGTATATTGTTGTTGTAATGTTGTTGTGGTGGTGATTGCGTTTAATTAGCTATCATAACCTGGTGGAAGGACAACAGAATCTGAAGTCTTTGTAGAAACAAAATCAAATTCCAAAGGGGCATACTTTTTTCTTCTTTATTTTCCTATTATATTATGACAAGGATCAATATGTTTAAATGAGACTTTTCATCATTACTTAACAGTAAGTTTAAAGAAATGACAATGACCACAATTGATTTGGTGTGATCACATTGTTAGAACCGATTTGTGTAACAATCGATTTGGGTTAAGGCTTAATCTCAATATTAAGGTAACGATGCGATCACACTAGATCAATTGTTACATAAATCATACTTTTCATCATTACTTATCAATGAATTTAAATGATAGGATACAATAAAATTTAAATAACAATCAAAATAAACTACAATACAATACATGTAACAACCCTCCAAACAAGGTGTAAGTCACAACTCAAACAAATGTATCAATACATTTTTTAATACTACATACGTATATTTTAATACTAGATACATGTATTTTTTTTTACCAAATACTTCAATTTTTCTTCTCTCTCCTTCGCTCTCGTTATGCACAGATACACTAATAAATATATTCATATTTTTTTTTTATACTAGATAAATGTATCTTTATTAACATATGTACAGAGCAAATTACTAAATGTGCCAAATATATGTATTTAGCAAAGAAAAAGTGATAAAGAAGGTAATTTTTAAAACTAATTAGGATCTAAATTAATGAAACAAACGATGTCGTTTCTGACTCTTTCTTTTAAAAAAAATAGTATTGAAATTATTAAAGAAAAATCCTGAAAGATAAAAAAAATGAAAAAGGAAAATTCTGGGTCTCCAGATCCCCACTGTCCCCCATCGGTCGCCGTTGCCGGTCATCGGAGTTAATCACGACAGAAAATGTAAATTCCGTTCTTCTCTCAACAATTTACACTTTTTTTAGAGAGATAAAGCATCATATATGCAAATTTGGATTTTAAAAAATCATCAGAAGTTTAGCTGTTGAAATCACCTATTCAAATGCTTTTGTGAGTGAACAGTTTTTTTATGTTCTGTTATGTATATTTTTGTTTTTTTTAACAGTATTGAGCTCAGTTTTTGTGCAAAATGGTGATAAAATGTGGAACTGAAAGTGAAAAGGAGATCAGCTTTAGATGTGTTCAGTGTGGATTCTCAGTTACAACTCTTTACATACAGTACTCTCCTGGCAATATCCGTCTCATGAAATGCGTATTTTTTCTTTCCTTGCCTTATAATTTCATGAACAGCATATAATTCTTACTCGTTCTGTTTCAATTTGTTTGTATGGTTTTGACTTGATACATTTGAATCATGTTAGTTTTAGGGGCGTTTGGGCATGAAAATCGTGAGTATTCGAAAAAAGTAGTTTTTAACTTCAAGGTGAAAAGTGATATGTGAAACTAAAGATACATAAAATGTACCAAAATGTTCATTAATCTTGTGGTCTTAAACATTTCATATGGAAAGTTGGAATTAAAGAGTTATCAAGAAAAGAAAGAGTTTTTCTTTTTGAAACAGTCAGGAAAGTAAGACGAACAATTTGAAATGAATGGAGTATTATTTTTCTGGGATCGAGCTGTTGGCAGAGGCGGAGGTGGATCTAGGATTGGTTGTTTATGGGCTCTTACAATGATTTCAAGTTAATATACGATTATAATGGTTCATAGTCAAAATATTTTTAGATATTCAGTGTGAATATTTCAATATATAGAGTTTGAGCAAAAGCTAATGGGTTCCGTGAACCTGCATGAACCATGCTGGACCTGTTCCTGCCTGTAGGAGTTTATATCCAATATACAGACCATATATACTAGTTCTTTTTGTAACATTGATTTGGATGCTTAACTTTATGCAGGGAAATTGCAAAGCAGTTGCTGATGAGTACATTGAATGTGAACTTATGGTAATTGATACAAAAAATGAATTTGAAAAGAAAAAGAGAGAGATAGAACACAAGTTATATGTATAGACTTCATTCTTGGTTTAGTTCCTAATTGTTTGTTTGGAATGTAGATATTGGTCATTGACTTGATTTTGCATAAAATTAAAGCTTACAGACACTTGTTCTACAATAGGTTCTCGAGAGAGACTTTGCATAATGAGGTACCTAATTCTGTATTTCTAGTTCATTATTTGTTGTGTATATGTAGACATTGCATTACAAACCCATTGTGTTCTCTTTTTCTCGTTTGATTGTTTTTTGTTCTTTTATGCAGGTCTTGTTGTGGAAATTATCTTTGGGTTTCCTGATTTTAGATGCTTGTATCCTTCTAGTCTCCAGTTTATATGTACCGATATCAAGTGTTTATCTATATTTTGTGTATTTCGACATTTTAACAAATTATTATAGATATCTTTTCTTTTGAAAAGGCTAAGTATTATTGATATAGCACAAAGATTGTGTTCGAGTACACCAAAAGTTCAAAACACAAGAAAAACAGAAACCCTCTATTGCAAGCTATCTACAGACTGCAATAAGGTTTCCACTTCGTTTACAAAATCCATCCTGATCCAACTAGATAACAAAGATATAGATGGACAGATTTGATCTTCAGAGTATTGTTAGCCTGACCTTCAAAAACTCTTTTGTTCCTTTCCTTCCATATATAGAAAGTTACTCTTTCTTCATGGACCAGATATTGCAATATGTAATCCTTTAGTATTGCATTGGTAGCATACCTATTGATGGTTTAGTTTACCCCTCTTGTTAGGTTGTGACCATATGATAATTTAAAGAATTAACTATTTCTTGTAAGTTTCTCTAACCAACTATTTGTAATTACACTTCAGATGTATAAATTTTAATTCTAGTCTTTCTCCTTGACATGACGTTTGATTATTTTCAATTATAAGTGTGCTTATCTTTTCTCTTCTTGTGAGTGTGTGATTTTAATCTCGGGACGATGTATTAAACTACTGAGCTTTATTGAACTAAAAGAATAGAATTCCAGTTCAGTGGAATAGAATTCAATGGCAGCCCTCTGTTCCTAAAGAGGGCAGCCTTTAAGCATGCATTGTTTAATCGCCTTAACTTGAAAAGACCAAATGTTGGCGGTATGCACAACTCAAGATGAGAGGAGTTTGCCTGCAAGCTTTGCCTCATTTCTGGGGCTTTGTGGAAAGGTATGCACCTTGAAATTTGTATTTGTTCTATTTCAGTGCCTATCCATTCCCCCTGTCGATCTAGATCTTTGCTGTAAGCATAAGGTGGCGGTTGCTGTTGTTAGGTGCTCATGGGCGTCTTCTTTGGGAATCTCATGTTCCTTGGCATAATTCTATTTGGCACAAGGAAGTTTCTGAATGCAAAAATAGGAGATTCAAGGTAAAGCTTTCCTTCATCTTGCAGTTTAATAGTTCAGTTTATATTTGTTTTGATGTTTAATACTCTCTTTCGCTAAATAAATGTTCCTTTTCTCTTTTTGGACGTTCAAAAATGTTTGACACCATTTCCCTTGCATATTATTCTACATGACGTACTAGACAAAACTTCCTGTTGGGTATGATTTAACCATTCTATGAGCAACATACTGAACCTCTATATATTTTACAATCTATAAGTACATGTGAGTTGCTGATTAAAAGCCATTTCAAGTATAACAATTTTGTTAGCCCTGCAGACAAGGATTGCCTAAGGTTTCTATGGAGCTGATGAATATAACATGTTACCAATTTCAAAAAAAGGCTTTTACGGAGCTTTAGAGTTTCTAGTGTCACTTGAGTTTTTCTAAACCTATCTAAGACTGGAATTCACTCTTTCTTACTGAGTAGAGAATTGATAATCCTATCTTTCTTTTATTTCGAGTTGGCTCGCACAGTTGGAGTCACTAAGGATCAATGATTACCTCTAATAATTTTAATTGAAAAAAAAACATCTCATGTGAGCAGAGGTTTTAGTCTAAATGATTTCCTCAGACATCGAGTTAGCATATACATTTTTGGAGTTGAAGTTGATTATGATTACTGTGTACTTGGCAACAGGTGTAAGCATATATTGCTTTCAATCCTCGTTTCGAGTTACTTCAAGATTTTTGTTATTGCCATGATGGTATGTTCCTTGCTGTCATTTGGCCATAGTGGATCAATTACTTAGAAAACTTTCTTGTTTCACAGTAATACTTTTCTACTAATGTTTTATTTATTTATAGGTGTGGGAATTTCCCTCTTCCGTTGTTTTCATCATTAAAATGTTTGTCTTGTCATCTAATGCACTGGCATTACTGGGTAAGAAGTTCTTTTCGAAGTTAATTTGAAATTTGAAGTATGTGCACTAGACAATTTGCCAGCTTATGAAATTCGCCTGACAGTGGATTTAACCTTTTGCCATGAGAGCTTTCTGTTTCCATCTCCAATGTGAAAACTTAGGTCATTCAAGTTTAATCCATATTAAAAATGGTTGTGCTACTCATCCTCTGCACTCTCTTGGTGCTATTCTTTAATATAATATGCATCAGGGTTGCGGATTAGTGAGTAGGCTCAGGCATTAACTTTTTGAGGCCAAAGCTAATTTGTCCACATTTTGAAAGTTTGGTGTGCCAGGTGCCCGCTAGTTTAGACATTCAGTTGCCTGCTGGTGTAACTTTTCTTTGATCTAGTTAAATGTCATTGGTTGTGTCCCTTTGGAAGGCTTAAAGATGAAAATGTATGCTTTGTGACTTTGGGTGTGAAGGTATTAGTTGGTAGGATTCATCAGAGCCTAGAGGTGTCGATATTTTATCCTTCCTCTCAGGAGTTGGATTGATATAAAAACTAACATTGGCATCTTAGAGATAGAATTCCATGTTTTTCTAAGAATTTAGAGGTTTTGATCAGTATAACAAAGATTAGCAGAGTGAGTTACAGTGAACCTTGACGGGACATAAAGCACAACCATGCACATGGATACAGTATAGTGTGGATTGTTGAAGATGAAAGGGGGAAAATAAGGAACCAGAATGTGGTGAATATGGGTTTGAATATTGACGAGGAGTTAAATTGCTGTCTCATTGCCAAACATGTGGTCATCCAAAAATAAATAATGTTAGCACTGCCGTAACTGTTGAGTTAGGTTGATGCCTATTCAGATATTGAACATTTTGAATTATATGAATAGAGTTGTTATCTGTTGGTTGATCCCTAGATATCACTAATATTCCTATAGCATTTAATGGGTCATATCTTGGTTTTAATAGTTGCTTCTTGGTGTAGTCTACCTTATTTTTTTCCTGCTTCTGAATCCTCCTCATATCCCGAAAGAGCCAATTGTTGCCACCCAAAAAAAAAAAAAACATTCTGCCCCCATAGAAGCTTTATAAATACACCCTATGGCGGAATTTTTTTTAGCTTTTTATTGGGGTTTCAAGGGCTTGAGAAAAGACGCTCTTCCGGAGGAACTCTCTCTTCTAATAGGTATAGTTTTTCAACTGTTGGGCGGACAAGTAGAAAGAAATTCTAGTACGTCAAGCTTTCCATGGTAATGTAAAAATAGAATCAGATCAAATACTTGCCTTGCAAACAAGAAGCAAAAACATGCTATCAGACTTCTCCATGCATTGCTCTGGACTTTTTATCAGAAGACTTTGTATTTTGTGTTTGATGACATACTTTATCGTACTGCCTGATGCTTCTTTACTTTGTTCATCACTTTATCTTGTTATTTTGTTGTCATTATTTCTTATCTTTCAATCCTGCTTTGATTAAACTTCTTTTGAGCTGAGGGTCTATTTGAGACGACCTCTCTATCTACCTTACCCTCTCCAGAGCCCACTTGTGGGATCACACTGTATATGTTGTTGTTGACATACTTTACCCGATTGTGAACCAGTGATCACAGATGCAGTCATGATTCGATGCATATGGATCTGCTTTGCTGCACATGCCATGAAATTCCTTGTTACTCAAGGTCTAGGAACATATCAAAAGCTAGTTCTTTGGTAGTCATTCAGCAGAGTTCATAAATCCATACTCTTTTAATGGTTGCATCTTGACATTGGCTTGAGAGTAACTTCAAACCTCCAAACGGTTCAGGTAATTACTTAAATCACGTCCTCTACGTTGATCTTCAACAACTTTTGAATCTAATATATTGTCGTTGATATGTTGATTTTAGGCTGAAGATCTCATCCTGTGTTGCTTCAGAATCGTCTGATTAGAATTGGGTATCCTGAAAGCTCCTCATTTCTTTTGTCTTTGACATTTCCTACCCGTCCTTTGTCCAACGTACTAGAATAAGCAAGGTGGTGTGTTCTCAGATAGGAAATTTGACTCTGGTGATCGCGGAGATGCCTACGATCAAACATGGAGAGATGGACACTGGTACTCTTACTATGATAACACTAGTTGTTCTATTTTTTCATGTTTTCAATAGAGATATATTTATGTTCTCTGTATAACAGTCCATTTTATAATGTAGGTTAACTCCAAGTCAGGAGAACATGTATTAGGACTATTATTTTGTTATTACCACAATTAATTATCTTTGAGGATGATTTAATGAGTTGAAACAACTACTTTTACCCAGTAAAATCCTACAAGTGGTCCATTGAGGGCGAAGTGTATGCAGACCTTACCAGTACCTCGTGGAGGTAGAAAGGTTGTTTCCATAAGACCCCTGGCTTATGTGCAACAAATCTAAGTACAAAGAAGAAGAAAACAATGTACTAATCATGGAATAATGTAAAGAAAGGAACAAGAACAACAAATAATAGGATAATAGACTGCTTCACCAACAAGTCTAAACCCTCGAAAAGCAACACTGCTTCACTAAATTGTCTCATTATTATTTATCCTTGATATTATTAATTATAACATAATCCCAATGTTATGGTACCAGGTATTACAACCCCCTAAGCGTAACAATTCACTTATAACAAGAAGAAGAGCAATGTCCAATTTCTTTGTTTCTCATTCAATATAACCACAGTAATTGGAATACAACAATAATAGCATACCTAGTGAAATCCTACTAAGTAGGATATAGGGGGATACAATATATGCAGACCTCACCACTACCTCGAGGAGAAAGAGAGGTTGTTTTTGAAAAACTCTCGGCTCATCAAACCCAAAGAGTAACTGGAATACATGCATTGCTTTTTTTAAAAAATGAATAACAAAACACAGCTAGAGAGGAGGAAAACATTAAATACATCACATGCCTCCTTTTCTTGTTAAAAGTTTTTAACATTACACATTTCTCCTCCCAAAACAGAGAAATGTAGAAACAAGGAGTGTATCAAAAAAGAATACTCAGAAAAGAGGTCAAACCCACACCGCACAACTTACAGAAGGGTTCAACTCAATGCACCACTCACTCAAATACCTTACATGATTACATACACAACTAGTTCTATGTTATTGCATGTGTGCAATTTATGTTATACACTTATCAATAAGTGACTGCCTGAATAATTCGAAAAGTGGCCAACTCAAAAGAATTTGACATATGCAACGAAAATTTCCTATCGAGAAGTTGTACAATAGTCCCTTCGGTGATTATTTACAGAAACACATCGCTTTGGTTGTTCGTTGTAGTGAAACACACAAATTGGGTGTTGTTGAGGTTCAACCTGGAGATATGCTTGCTTGCTGTCAAGGACTGTTTAGATTTATTAGGTCGTCAACAACATCAGGCAAAAAGCCACTGGGTTGAAAATCAGACCGGCGAAGGACATTTGGCTGGGGATAGTCAGAGTTGCTTTGTCTGACCTTTGTGGGCGAAGGCTTGCCTGAAAAGCAGTGGCGTACACGGACACGGTGACATTTTCTTTCTGTTGAGAAGCAACCGCGGACTTTGATTGCCAACATGACTTCCTTATCCTTGGCATCTTCACACCAAGAGGTTTGAGGAATTCCATCAATGAACTCCTCAAGTGTCTGCCGATCTTCATGGTGAACTGAAATCTCAACAATTTGGTCGGGTACAATGACACCAACTGCAGGATTAACCTGTTGAAGTTCAACCCAAAAACATAAGATTCTTAAAAGCCAATATTTAGAGTGAAAATTTTAGCTTAAGAGAAACAGTAAATAGGCTCTGCATTTAAGGACAACATGCTAGAATAGCAGATTTTGAAGATACATTGGAACCCTAACCCTTTCTCAAATGGAACTTGGTGTTGTTCTAACCATATCCAAATGAGTAAAACACAGTTCTGAATAAGTCCATTTCGCTCATTTACCACCGATTTCGTCTTCTCATTTAGATAAAAAAAACATGTTTCACTGTGACATTTTCTTCATTTCCATACTTCCGTCTTCTGCAATAACAAAAGGCTATTGATGTATCATACGTTCTCTGTGGTCTAGTTAGCTTTAAGGGATCACAACCAAATAAGATGCTAAGGGAGGCGTAGAATTTCTGACGTTCATGAGAATGTTCAGAATGACTGAACTGGTTGTGACTTCCAATCTTCCAGCTCTAGAAAAAAATTAGAAAGAGGAAACGTAAAAAAAGAAAGGGGGAGAGAGGAATCACTACGGGAAGTCTCACAAGAACATAGAACCCTGGCCATCAAACCCCAGGCACTACAATGACAGAGAAGATCCAAACCTCTACTTTAAGAAGTGGAAGTTACCTCAAGCCAACGAGGGAAACCAAAAGAGCCTCTTGGACGATAATCAAACACTTGCCCATCATCTTTAACAGTGGACTCGCCTTCACAAATTATTTCAAAAATAGCTTTGTTTTTCCCGCTCTTATTTGTAATGCGCAAGATGGATGCATCCGAGTTCATGAGGATTATGTTATTTGTGCTGACTATTGCTTCTGGAATTCTATTAAGTTCCCGAAGCATAAGCACAACTTTCTCGTCTGATCTAATGATTTCTCCATATTCTTGCCTTCTCACTGATTCATCCACTCGAGCAATCTCCACATTGAATATGCACCTTACAGGTTTGTGGTCACTATCTGTCACATCCATGCAAGCTTCATACCTGCCAAGGAGAGGCTTTTAGAAGAGTAGGAACAGAGGAAACAGAAATATATATATGAAAAAACAAACAGAAAAAGATGGCAAAAGAAGAAACGGTGGGCAATGATTGATACACATAAATATGACAAAAGAAGTGTGTGGATGGGTTTGGTGGGGGGGGGGGGCAGTTATTGAAAAGCAAATAGAGAAATGAAAGATGAAACACCAATTTTTGGTCTTACTTAGTACAAAGGAAAACAAAATGAACTGGAGGAAGAAAAATAAAGCCACAGAAACATTATATGAAAAACTTACTGCAGAACTGATGAGACGACAGGACAATCTAAGCTGCACGTGGAACCTGAAGTGGAACGGCTATCACGATACAAAATCCTGTCACACCAGGCAGGAATCCGCTTCTTTTCACCAGAGTCATACCCTTTAAATGAGACATTATAACCAAATCAGACATTCAGAAGAGAGAAACACAGGAAGGGCGAGAGAGATAGAGAAAGCAGGTGAGAGAGGGAAGCGTTTACATTCTGTCTAGAAAATATGAAAGTCAACTGCAGAACTGATAGCTACAGGTACCTGCTAAGCCATTTTGATGCCTCTCAAATTTGTATGTTGGAGGAAATCTGATGACTGCTTCACGCATTCCTTGGAAGACATTCCCAACTTCCATCTCTGTATGCAACTGGTCCCTCTCTCTAAGCCAATCAAAGCTCCTTTGGGAAATAAAATCTCTTGCTTCATCATAAGAAATGCCATCAAGCCGATAGTTCAAGTCACCAAGAAACACAACCATATCTGCCTCAGAAAGCTCAGGAGTTGCTTCTGCAGAGTTAAACGCAACCTGACAAGCATAATTCAATGTTTTTTTTATTCTGTACCAATTGAAATATACTGCTCCAAAGAAGGAAGCAAATATTTTAAGAAGACTATTATAGACTAGACTATTACTCCCTCCATCCCTTTTTAGTTGTAATGTTGCGCTTTTCGAAAGTCAATTTGACTAATTTTCAAAGTTAAATTAGATTACATTAATTTGATATTTTAAACTAAAAATTTACATAATCAAAAACTATACGAAAAGTACTATAAATTGCAATTTTTTGCATCAATATGATGAAAAAATATATCGTAAAATGTCCGTCAAAGTTCTTATCGTTTGACTCTAAAAAAGGGAACCATGACAACTAAAAAGGGACGGAGGGAGTACAATTTAAGTAAGTACATACATTTGCACTGCGAAGCATGTGAATTGCAGATGAGACACCAGCTGCAACAAGAAGTACCAATGGCAACCGAGAACCATAAGCAACCCAGATTAAAAACATAGAGCAGGCAAGCAAGCAAGCTGAGAATAGGTATGGCACCATACCAGCTGCAGCATTGAGAAAGTTTGATGGTCGACTAAAGATCATACTTCGATAAACATGGTCAAAATCAGCATTCCGGCGACCGACAGCTTCTAGATGTGCAGCAAAGTGACAGTTCACAAAGCACACAGTACGATCATACACTCTCATCCTCAATCCTACGGCTCCCTGTTTGTAAGACCTCAACCAAAATTAATACCAGAAGTAAGAGAATGGTATCCATACTTGTCAAAAACACCAAAAGAATTAAGGAATGGTGATTAGTAACTCCCACATTTGCATAATAGTCACGCAAATAAATTGTTTCAATGGAAGCTCAAGATTATGGTAGTATTATTAGTGTTCATATGAAGAAACTTACAGTTAGAATAATTGTATTCTGATAGAATTGTGCTCCTTTCTCTAGTGTATTAAAGGGCTGTAAATGTACTTTTGGTGGCTTTTTCTTTTTCAGCACAAGCATGACTTAGGTCTGACTTCCTATGTTGCCCATTTTTCAATAAGACATTCCAAAAAAAACCAGGAAGAAATCATGCTTAAACCTATTTTATGACAAAAGCCTAGGAATTGTTGTAGGGTGACTCCAAGTAAGAGAGAAGTTCTAAATCAGTAAATCATAACTTACCTAATTCTGTTCTTATGTTTCTAAATACAACTAGTCACCAACAAACAATTAATTTGTTCTCAACTTTCAGCATAATATAATTAGATCCATCAAGAAACAGAAAAAAGGAGAACACAACCACACCTTGTTCCCAATTGCACGCCCGAAACCACAAGGTACTGCTGCAACATCAACATCACCGATATAACGACTAATATTTCTTCTGACCCTGAACAATAGTTTTGATTTACAGATATCAGACATGTGTACAAATTGAGGCCCCAGTTCTTTTTTTTTCTTTTCTGATGAAGTTAGAGGCTCCGGCTCATTAAATCTAGCTCATTAGATCATTTATTCATCAAAACTCAAAAGGAAATTGTTTAGATAATTGAACGCGCTAACCCTAGTTTGCATACAAAATAATCAAGAAAGTTGACTTCATTCATCTGACTACAAAATGTGTTCCATAATTGGAATAAAGGATGAGTTAGGGTTAAATGGACTGTCTTTTTTCATATGCAAAAAAGCTGGAACTCGTGACTTAAGTCGAAAGAGAAGATGCAAAGAAAAGTTATCTAGTACAAACATATTGCATCTTGGTTGGT